CCCCCCCCCCCCCCCAGTTTGTTGGGCAAACAAAGCCAGTCGAGGAATATTCGCTCCACAGTCGGGCAATATTGGCTTATTATAAAAATAAATGGGACAGATTCTGTGGGAAATTGTGTCAATTTTGTGGTTAATTTTGTGATGTCTGCAAAATTTGTATGATGTTCGGAAAAATTTTGGTATGTCCGAAAAATTTTTGGACCCCTAAAATGGTACACAGAAAAATATTTTTCGGTACTTGTCGGGCACAATCCGAAAAAGTCGGGCAAATTTCTTTCCACCCCCCTAATTTTTCCTTCCGGTAGGCTCATGTTCCTACGCATGGTAGAATAAACAGAATTAAGAATTAGCATGTCACCAACACCTTTGACAAATAATATAGTAACCTTAGTAATAAATAAATATAAATACCATTAAACACTTCCACGGAAATGCCAGCAAAGTGAGCAAACACAATCGCCATTAATCAAATTTAATCCCTTATTGTTCACTTGAACTGTACATTGTTCTTGGCCATCTGCTCAGTCGCACTTGATGTGGCGGCGCCCATTTTTTGTAAGCTATATTTTATAACAAAAGACATTTGGTTGTAGCTGCAACCGATATGAAATTCCACGCTGCTAAGCTGCTTATAACATCGCATTATCGGAAAGAACTCTTCTTCGTCAAATGTAGATGACTGAGCAAAGCTATAAGCCAGTTCATTCGTTACTGATTTAGTATAGAAAACTAACACAAATCCATCCATCTTTCACAACGTCTTTCACCCGAGATGAATATGCTGTTTTCAACTTCAACTGCGCATCGTGACGTATCATATCGTAGATTTTCTTTTGTGTCAAAGACTCAAAGTCATTAGTTCCTGCACTCTAGTGTTCAGGAAACAAAGAAATACGGTATGCTTGAGTATGATGCGGCTGAAGTGGATATAAAAAAAAACGCAACCTCGGAATTTCCCAAGAAATCGACATTGTTTTAAAGACAAAAGATTTTAGGCGCCTGGGAATTTAAAATAGCACAACTGTCAAAATTACTGCACACGCGAGTGCATAAAGCAAAATTTATGCATTTATTTAATGCACAACAACAGTAATATGATCTACAGGGTGTCTCAAAAAACCCCAAAATCATTGAAATTGACGTATTGTTCGATATTCAATGCCCTAGCACTAAGTTAATCCCACGAGTGCATAAAAGATTGACATAACTGCTATAATGAATGGTAATAATCAGCGTAAAC